CGCAGCGCGCAGTGCGCCTGCAGCCGCCCCAGCTCCGACTCGCCTACCCACTGCAGGCGGTACCGCACGCTCTGCAATACGCGGATATTAACATCGCTTACTTCCTCTATTCTAAAATCTAACATGTTATCTGGATATTTGCATCCAGGAGACTTTAAATAAGGCCGAACTTGAAAAGCAAAACTTACAGGTTTCACTTTCAATCGTTTCTTGGCATCAGCTCTGATGGTGAGTTTATATACCGCGTGGTAGACGCAGGGCGCGGGGTGCGCCGGCAGCCACACCTTGCTCACGCGAAGCGGGGAGAGCTGCGTCCCGCTCTCCATGCCGAACAACTGCACAATACCGCCACTTACTGCCTTACTCAGAATGGGTCACTCGGGGATACCTTCAGTGTACATTTCTCTTATAGTTATATTACCGCCAATTTAAGGAGTCCAAGAACTGAAGTTACTGTATTATGAATATACTAATTTCGAAAGACATGTTTCAAATCCAATTTGAATAGAACTAAATAAAAAGATAAGGTACCAATAAATTACCTCAAACAGTAACTTATATGCTGACATTTTCCATGAATTTTTCTCTGATTTAATCGATGGGATCCAATATTCGCCACTGGTCTCTTTTAATAACAGAAAAGATTTGTCGGATGTACAATAAACCAGTAGAGAAACCACGTCCTGCAACTCCCTGTAATGTTTAAACATATTTACTATGAATTTCTTGAAATTTTAATGAACATGTAAGACGTTTTAAACGTAACTTTTGATAAATATACGTCATGCCTATGTAACAGTTACAGCAAAAGTGCAAAAATCTTACTGTCGTTTCAAAATAATATTTACAAAAGCATTTTTACTACTTTAAGATTTAATTTAATTACTATTTTGTAAATTTTGTTCCACTTCAAGTGGTAATTATTGTTACTTGTTTTTAGCGCCATCTAATATCGAATTCTAAAAACATTTATTGAACTTAACATGGTGCCATCTATTAATCAAAAGCAAAAACATTTTTTTTAAAGTTTATTACAGTTCATCAAACCTTTTACATGCTTTAATTTAGCTTTTTATGTTTTTTTTACGTTATCGATATAACGCGGATATATATATTTTCTACAATGAAAACTCAAGCGGAACATTTAAAATTATTGTCATATTTTACATAACTAGAATCGCCAACCCCTTTAATTAAATCATACGAGATAAACTTTATGTTCCCTTTTAAGAGATAAGGGAGGATCCATTAATTATGAAGCATTTGTAAAGTATTGATCTTTATGTTCGTATATAGTTTGGCGCCTAGATATATTTACTATGTGACGTAGTGATCACGCCACCTTTTCAGAGCACTTAGCCTTTTCTGATTGGTGGATGTCCCCACCCCTAAGCGAAAGTAGGATACATTCAACACGTCTAGGGTTGCTATAAGGGCACTACGCTTAAATCGATTTTAAATCGAATGCAATATTTAAAAATTAACAAAATAAATGTCTTAATATTTTAAATCCCAGTTTTAATAACATTTTGAGATAAAATAACTTTAAATTTATAAGTTTTAAACGTAGTAGACTTATAAATCTTTAAAATTAGTTTGAGATTGAATCGATTTTTCATTGATTTGACAGAGGCAAATATTGATACAACACTAACTAAATAGACAGTTCGAATTTGCAGTTTGCAGACGTTCACCCTCTGATAGTGTTTACTTTCAGTTTATTTCGAAAATCAGTGATAATTTATAAGTGGAATATATCTAATCAACACAAGAAGAATTCAGGATAAAGGTATGCTATCTTTATTTGTTTTATTTTTTGGCCTAGGCTCAAATTTATTATAAAAGGAATCTCTGATAACCTCTTGCGGTTAAATTATTATGCGAAATATTCTTCTTTTAATATTCAAGAGAAAGTTAATTATTGTTTTTATAAAATAATTAAATGCGCAAATAGGGTTTTAAATCATACTACTATAATAAAAATCAATTCGTTAATGTCGCTGGATTTCAATTAAATATAACTGCGGTAATATTATGCTCTGACGTGATTTATTTATTATATTAATTAAAAGTAATTATTAGTGTAAAATCTGAAACAAAGGTGTTAATTTTATAACATATAACAATTAGCTAAAAGGTGGGCTCTTTGTACAATATAAACTTCAGCTTCCCATTTTATTTTCACATAGTTGTAAAATAATTATAACTTTTCTATCCATAACATAATATAATGAGTTCTTTGGGGAATCAAATAGGTATGTTTCTTTGATTTTATTGTCCCATTAACTGTGATAATCAAGCTTCATCTATGTTTTACAAAATTATAAGTACCCAACCCACTTTGAGTGAAAATTGTTACATTATGTAATTATTATTTACATTTCATGACATATGTATGTTGTGTTTTTTAAACTTATTGATCCTACAATTTTTCAAATGTTGATTAAACAAAGATTAAAGTAGTTTGTATACAATTTTATATTTTATCTCATACTTAGAATCAACTTTACTAATAACAGTATTTAGTTGTTTTATAACTAAATAGTGGTATATTGTTATCAAAACCTTAGTTTTAGACTATAGTTTAAATATTAGCATCAGATGATGGAAATCTTAGGCCCTAGGTATTAAGTTTCCGCGGCCAAACATTCATATAAAAATATCATTGGTCTTTTAAAATAAATTAACCTGTTTTGCTTAAAATTGTGATTAAAACCCATTGTCAAGTAATTGATGTCTTAACCTACCTGATTATTTAAACAGTACTATTGCTTATTACACAAAAATGTCTTTTAAAAGGGAAAAAATGACAGATAATTGCTATAAGAACTGCTCTAGGGTGCAGAATATATTTACTCCAAAACCTATTGCAACATACCATGCATTAAGTATTATTTGGAGTGTGTTTTAGTGACAATATTGAGAGTATAACTTGCCCTATGCTGGGTGGTTTTGCAATTAGGTCAACTATCGGTGAAGTTTCGTAAAGCATCATATGTAATGTCTAGTTCACTTTGTAATGGATGCTTTTCATGATACCATTAGGATATGTTTTGTTATGCATATTGATACCTTTTGCGGAATGGTAGGTAGGTAGAGGTTATAGTTTTTATTGAGCACTTCTCTGGTTTTGTTTATATGTCTGTTGTTGGTTTTGTATAATTTTTTTCTTTGTATGTCTGTTAATTATAAAAATTAAGGTGACATTATCAAATGTGGCTTTGTTTCCCTTTATGTGCTACAATTTAAAAACTGAGTAATTTACTTTAATTTAGTAATTACAATGAGAGCAACAGATAAAGTAAATTAATTTATTGTGAGACCTTGAATAAAAATACCTTTAGATTATTAAAAAAAAAAACAGGTTCGACGCATTGAGGTATCAACTTGTAATGAATATTTATTGGGGCAAATAATTATATGTATGAATTCGATATCGAGACGTAAAATGTAGTTTTCTTTAAAAAGCCAAAAAAATGTTGAAGCAATGTGGGCTTGTTCTTGTTTAAATCAAAATGAATTTCGTAACATAGTAATGAAGCCGCGGGAAGTTTACTGTTTTAATAATTGCAAGCACTCTAGCTTATTGGTTTTATCAGCTAAAGTAATGCTGGAAAGATCTTGGTACCAATTTAATATGACTGTTAAAAAATGTTACATTGTAGAATTTTAGTAGAATCTAAAACATTTAAAACTATTGCAATATAAAAGTCGAACCCGTCGGAAGTCCGTAAAATCGACATGTAAATGAAAATTAGTGCTGTAGCCTTTGGGTACCTTTTCCTTTGTTAGCTACATTTCTAGATTACAGACGTGAGTGCCTATTATCTAGTGCTAGGTAGATCTACTGCTGTGGCAAGGCCGCGCACTTTGCTCTCCCGCGCCGGCGCACAATTACACTCCCCACGGACCCCCCCAAGTCCCCAATGCCCCCACGCCACCCACCTCGTCAGACCGCGACTTCTATTTTGTTAGATAAATTACATTAGAATTTTCAAGATATTTGCTATTGATTCGTACATTATAACGTCCAAACATTCTATACTAGGCCAGTTTTTTTCGTACGTTCGATTATAAAAACGAAAATTTTGTTTTGACCTCGGTTGTTAACTATGCAGAAGTAAGTCGCATATGTTTTGATAATATTTTGAACGAGAACTTGCAGGTGATACTCTTCATTTTTATCCGACTAAATTTATAAACACGGAAATATTTACATAATATACCTCGGTCTCTATTAGTACTTTGTTGAGATAATTTATGGTAACATAAGTATGTTTATAACATTACTTTTTAGAGTTTTATACCAACCCTCTACGTAAACCGATCATGGTGGTTCTAAAAAATGGATGACACGAATATTTTCTGGCTACCTGCGGAGAGGCCCAACGGCTTAGTTCTATGATCAATATAATAAAAACTTTCGTTTATTCAAGTTTAATTAGAGTTTGAGCTCAGATTGTAATGCTGCACTAATTACTCCATGGCCCGCAGCTCGTGTACGTCAGATGTCAAATCACGTCGGCGTGGTAACGAGGTGCAAAGTCCATACCGCGCCGCCGTGTGCCACCAGGATCATTGTGTCTCGCCGCACTGACACACATGTTTAGGGCTGTCAGAAATCTGTTGTCTGGAGAGGGATTAAAAACATTGTACAACTGCAGGTCTTCTTTTTCGAAACAAACAAAACAAAATATGTTTTTATTTCACATTGAAGTGAAATTTAAAAACAAAATTATAAAAAAAAAATCAATTCGATGTATTAAATTTTTTTTTCTCCGAGCAAAGTCTATGTATTTCTGTTGAAATATTTTAGGTAAATATGTAACTTTCCGAGTAAATTTAATAGCCTTCAAGTTTTGAAGTTAGTAATTGAATCATAGAAAAACGTTTTGTACAGCCCTAGTAGTGATGTTATGTTTGTAAGCGTTAAATTGGGTTATTTATCGATAAAGATTTAAATGAGCAATTTGTTTAGCCTCTGAATGGAGTGATTTGTCAATGCTTTTCCACTATTGAATGATTCAATCTCTTCTCGTATACTTTTACCACGTCATTGCTTTTGTCTAGGATTATTGTGATAAATGACTATTTTTGTCTTAATGTCCTTTTTGTTTTTTTATTATCTGTTGTTTGTAGACGGTAACATTTAGTATTCGTGTCAAACCTTGTTTTAAACGAGGTTCTTTCTTTTAAAATTTATGTCTAGGTCTTGTGAATTGCTAAAAAAGTTTCTAGAAGGAATGATATTCTAGAATACCATTGTAGTGTAGTTGTATAACGAAACATTTATTATCAGTGTAAATATATCTTATGGACTTCTTGTTAATTATCTCATTCATGCTTATTTGCTTGTAGTGTTCATAGTAGTTTTTGTGTCTAATTAATGAGTTATCAAGACTTTAATTTGCGTGGCGCAGTACATCGTAAATGTTATATTAAGAGTGTTTACCATAATGAGGTTAGAACTCATTAAAACCAAGTATTCGTGTGTATTGTATTTAGTATACTGAAGTTAATTAATGAAACATTTTTAATATTATAAGGTGGCTAATGGGCAAGCGGCCACCTGAATCCGCCAAAATGGCGAATTTACCGCTGCCCATAGACAGTAGCAATAGCGGATGCTATGCTACCCATAATCGACGGAGGAGGAAACGCACATAAAGAGGATATTTTCCCTATGCGTCACCTCCATCGTCAAATCCACGTTCCCTTTCTAGCCTATTCTAATGAGAGAAAAGGGATAGGAAGAAAAGAAGACTAAAGGCCTCC